TTACGACACCAGGTGTCGCTCTTCCGAACTTGCACGGTCCCAATACTATAAAACATTAAAAAGTCATAGGCCTTTCTTTGCAAAACACGTTTTAATCTGCCAAATGTGTTCTCCAGAAGAATGGCTTATGTAAACTTGTTTTAATACTCTTCATTTAACAAGAAAAAAGGACATATTTTATAAAAGTGTTCCCTATTATTTTATCAATGGATCGAAAATTCTTAAAACTAAAACACTTAAACAATGCAAGTGTTGGTTCGCCGTAGGCATGGATGAATCTTTGAATGTTTGATTTAAAAATACACTTTTAGCATATAGGCCCTAGCTCTAGCTCTAGCTATCGCCTCAATTGCAAGCTGTAAAACGGACATCTAGTGCTGTACAACATACACACACACAACTCCTTCTATAATAAACATATTTCACATCATTCCCTTTTGTATTTTATTCTCAATCAAATTAGCCAATCAAAATCATACGATCCGTTTTATCTTTTGGTTCAGTCTACATTCTTTAACAAATCACCCAATTTGGAGTACGAAACCACCATCTTAAACGAATTTATAACGGTTTCATAAAAAATAAAGCACAGAAATAATAAATACATCGACATGTATATTAGATAGCATTTTTTAAATAGACAGCGAATTAATATTTCAAAGGAAACATATTTTTAGAAAAAAATTAATATCGAACGGCAGATAGAAGTGTTCAACACGTTGTCGTCGGTGACAACCTCTTCCAGATAAAAATACTATTAGATTTGTCACATATCTCCAATATAAATAGATGCAATAAGGTTGTTTGAACAATGAATCAAAGTGAGCAGCGCTTGACGTCAGTTCATAAACACATATTCTGGCAGTTTTGAGAAATTGAGGAAACTATTAATCTGATATTATTTTTGCCGCCAGGATAGGATTATGGATTCCATATTTTAATAAATAGGTACCTCCTCGATGAAGGGTAGCTGTATTTTCGAGGATGTATACACATCCTCAAAAATGTTGCACATTGTCATGTGCATCCACTTTGCACATTGTCATCATTCGTATTGTAGTGTTATTATAAATCTAATTTATTGTCTTTATTTATTATAAAAGGGTTCTACACTTTTACAACACTTCAACACTACAACAGTTTATTAAAGTCTTTATTAATTTATGTATACAATATTCACTAATGTATTTCCATGTTATAATTTAAACTCGATACAATTTATTTTCCGATTGACTTGTTTTCAAATAAAAATGTCTATTATATCAAACACCCGCTATTCCGGAATTCCGGCGACCCCTTTCGAATAGACTAGAAGGTCACGCCAGACAGGTTCTGGCGTTGTAACATCTAAATATAAACGATATTGAAGGATGTTACCACACAGACAAACAACAAAATCTACAACGTCAACTTCACAGTAAAGACCCAATAAGAGAAGAAGTGTCAGATGCCATCCTAAAACTCAAAGACAATAAAACCCCAGGAATCGATGAAATCTGTTAGGAAATGTATAAAAAAGGTAGTGACCAACTTTTTGCAACAATCCATAAACTAACAGTACTTATATGGCAGAATTAATTGGTGCCAATATTCGCTGGAGATCGTCGATTCAAACAGTCAGATCATATCCAGGGGCGATATGCGGATCCGATCATACTCTCCTCGTAGCTAAAGTAATGCTTAAACTTAAAGCACCCAACAAACAACGAGAGATAAAGAGGATAGAACTAAGAAAGAAAGAAGACCTTCTACAGGAAGTACAGAGAAGTATGCCCTCTATTCGTAACGGAACATCACAAGAAATATGGGAGACTGTTAAACATTGCGTAACAACACCAGTGGATCGCTCAAAGAAAAATAATCCGGTGAAACGGAAACACTGGATATCAGATGAAACTCTTAAAATAATTGAGAATAGAAGAAATCTTTGTAAAAGTGGTGTACATAGTGAAAGGGAAAAAGCTAGTTTAAGAAACCTCAATAAAGAAATAAAACGAAGATGTAAGGCCGACAAAAAACAGTACTATCAAAGTATATGCAACGAAATTGAGAGACATGGTCAGAATACTCAGCCGAGAGATCTATTTAGAAAAATACGCTACCTGACAAGAGACTTCAGAGCCAGAACTTGGGCAATTGAAGATAACACTGGAACCCTGAGAACAAACAGAGAAGACATAGCAGAGACATGGAGATCGTATTGCAGGGACCTATATAAAGATGATCAACGCCAAGAGCTTGTTAGCCAAATCTCTGACGAGGTGGAAGAAGAACCTGATATACTCGAAAATGAAGTAAGACAGGCTATCAACAAGCTCAAATATAACAAAGCACCAGGTCCAGATATGATAACAGCAGAAATGCTTAAAGCCACAGAAGAAACCGGCGTAAAGTTACTTCATCTACTCTGTAACCAAATATGGCATTCCAAACAATGGCCTGAAGACTGGACAAAATCTACAATAACGACCATACATAAAAAAGGCAGCTTCCATAAATGTGACAATTATAGAACTATCTCTCTTATATCCCATGCCAGCAAGATAATGCTACATATAATCAATGAGAGACTGAAAACATTCCTTCAAAGAGAAATTCCACAAGAGCAAACTGGATTTACCAAAGGTAGAGGCACTCGAGAACACCTGCTGAATATAAGACAGATAATCGAGAAATCTAGGGAATTCAACATCCCACTATACATCTGTTTTATAGATTACCGTAAAGCGTTCGACAGGGTCAAGTGGAGACACTTATGGCGAATACTAAAAGAAGTAGGCGTACCACAACATCTAATTACGCTTATAACCGAACTATATGAACACACTACTGGATCAGTTAAAGTACTTGACACACTTTCGAACGAATTTCATCCAGAACGGGGTGTCAGACAAGGATGTATACTATCTCCACAATTATTCAACATATATGGGGAGTATATTATGCGAAGAGCACTTGAAGGATGGGAAAAGGGCATCTCAATAAATGGTCATAAACTAAACAACCTACGTTTCGCAGATGACACAGCCCTTCTTGCAAATAGTCAAGCAGAGCTGATAGAACTTATACGACTGATCGAAAACGAAAGTCAAATATTTGGTCTGCAATTAAACATATCAAAGACAAAGATCATGATAGTGGATAGACTACACAACAATCATCCACACATAACCACAATTGACCGGTTCGAGGTTGTGAGCTCATACTTATATCTGGGATCATTAATCACAAACACAGGGTCATCACAAGAAGAGATTAAACGTAGATCTGATCTAGCAAAAGTTGCCACAGCAAAAATGACCAAAATATGGAAGGACTGTCAAATTTCAAGAGCGATAAAGATGAGGTTGATCAACTGCTTAATATTCCCAATACTGACCTACGGATGTGAATCTTGGACTCTGAGACAATCGGAGAGAAGAAAGATAGACGCCACTGAAATGTTCTGTTGGAGACGAATGTTACGAATTCCTTGGACCGACCGCTGAACAAATAATTCAATTTTAAGAGAGCTAAAAGTTAGCCAACGACTCTCTAGTAAAGTCCATCTCCAACAATTAAAATATTTTGGGCATGTTATGAGAGCAAACACAGAAAACATGGAAAGACTCATAATACAAGGAAAGGTAGAAGGCCGAAGATCACGAGGAAGATCCCCAACAAGATGGATAGATCAAATTACAGGAATATGCCAAAGACCTATGCATGAATTAAAAGAAATGACCAGAGACAGAGATCTCTGGAGACGGACAATACACGACATCACGTCGACCACTACACTCCCCCTGGGGGATCAGGATTGAAGAGAGAGAGAATTGGTGCCAGAAGAGTGGCTAAAGGAAATAATATGTTTGTTACATAAAAAGGGTGATCAACTGGACTGTAAGAACTATAGAGGCATTACTCTGTTAGCATCTGCGTATAAAATCTTCGGCAATGTATTGTTTGAAAGACTGAAACATTTTACAAAGGATATTGTTGGTCAATATCAATGCGGATTTACTGCTTAAAAGTCAACTACACATAAAATTCAAGCACATAGGCAAATTCTAGAAAAGTCAACAGAATATATCATAGATACACATCTCTTCGTCGACTTCAAAGCAGCATATGACAGTGTGAAACAAACAGCATCATATAATGCAATGATAGACTTTGGAATCCAACCTACAAGTTGACCCAACTAACAATGCAAAATGTTAAGCCCATGCATTAGAAATGAAGGAGAAAACTCTATGTTCTTTGAAAATAATGACAGGGTGAGGAAATGGATGAAACTATTTTGTTATATGTATTATTTTACATTAATTCATTCACCTTTCTTAAAGCATTTGTCACGCGTATTTTAATTTGCAGTTATAAAGGATTTGTTGTAATCAAATGTATATAATTTTTTTATTGATTTTACTTATTTTTTAAATAGAATTTCATACGATCATCTTGCTTATTATTTCTATAGTAATATTATATACCCAATGCGAAAGGGAGAAACCAGCGAGTTCTAGATTGAACATAGTGTCTTCTCTTCCCTTTCTGATGACCCCATTTGTTATATTGAGGTCATCGTATGTGCAGAACACAACAGTTAAAATATTGGTTTTTATTGAAGGTACATAAATTGCACAAAACTCTGAACTCTGCTCTACATTATATTCATTTAGATTAAGAGAAGAATACATAAGATTTTCTTTTACATAAATTGCAACTCCACCCTGTTTCTTTTTTACCCTACAAAAGAAATTAGCCAATCAAAAAGCTGGAGATGCTAATTAATTGTAAATTTTCTTAACTTTTCCAGTGCTCAGAAAAACATAATATAAATTTTGATCCGCAAGAAAAGCATTTCATATCGACTTTATTTTAAATACACTGCAAGTACATATAGCCACTAGTGCGCTCCTGCATACATATTAAAATTATCCTCTGACTTATTACCCACTCCCCGTACACTCCCAATCCATTCAAAAAAACTTTAATCTCAGATTATTTTTTTCAGCCAGCCAGTCCGAGCTTCGACTCCAGCCAGTCATGTCGTTTCCCACGCGAGAGGAACGCGCTAAGTGTTGGGGCGCCCGGGACCAGTACTGGGACTGCCTCGATAAGAATTCCAGTGCAGCTAAAGACCAAAAGGACAAGAACAACGTCTGTGCCGGTTTCCGTAAAGTGTACGAGGAATCGTGCTCCGCGCAGTGGGTGAAACATTTCGACAGGAAGAGGAACTATCTTATTTTTAAGGAAAAGATTGAGAAAGAAGGGTATGAGCCGTTAGATTCTGCGAAGTAGTTTGCCAGGGGGATGTTTGTTGTAGATGTTAAAGAGTGAATGTTGAATTATTTGAAAAATGTGTTTAGTTGTTGCTGTAGAGATAATATATTTATAATTTCTTTGATGTTTTGATTTTAAAGCGCCTTTATATGATTCTGAAACTATTTTTTTTGTGTCATTTTTATCCAGACTGAGGCAAATATGCGTATTCAAACTTGAAGTACTTATATGTTCATAAATATGCACAACTTTTGTTAATAATATACAAACAAATTCAGCATGTAGGGTAAAACACCCAGTAGTCAGCCTTTTAGTGAGAATCTTAATTTGTTTCAATTGCATATAAAAAATAAAGGCGTTAAATAAAACAAATATTTTTATCAGAAACTTTGTTTATTAAATTATCGAAAGATATTAAATGTTATTATTGTGTTATAATTATAAACAAAAACCACACTCAACAAAATATGGCACTTTTCACCTGTAGCCAGCCTCATTTCTCCGCAAGTCAGCCATGTCTACCATGCAGTCAGCCACTTACTTATTCTTGCATGTTGGACATAGAAACTCTTTATTATATATGTACATTCTCATAAACGTTACTAGCAAATTCAGTACATTTTAGATGATACCACGCAGGGCAATTGTCACAACCAATATTCTTGAATTCGTTTATTTCTGTGTCACTATAGTTTATTTTTATGAACGAGAGAGTAATTAGCATAATTTTAACTGGTACCCATCCGACCACTCCAGGGGCGTGCTCAAGATTAATTGAAAAATTACTTTGAATAATTGTAAAAAATAAATGAATTATTTCAGTATTATAAAGTGTTATGTGTATGTAAACAAAAGTGACCTCTTTTATCACACACTATATTAGAACTGACTGGCCTACATTAAAAAGGTTTTAAAAAATTCACATTTTTTTTAATTTTTAAAAATTACAAAAGAGAAAAAGAGTTTTTAAAACCGTCTAAGGTATGTTAAATAGATGAATAAAAATATTAATATAAAACTTACAGCTACTTGTTACAAATCCAAATCAGATTCAGAAGATGAACTTTTAGAACCAAGATTTATAATAACTGGCTCGATCATTTTATCAGTAATATTGTCCAGCTTCCACATTTTTTCCTCTTCTTTAATAGTGTGATTTACTGCCTTTTCCCAGTTTTCAGGTTTTACATTATTTACGGCCTCCAAAAACAACTGTTTAACATCATGAATTTTAAAAGTGGTATTTTTTCTTGAAACTTCACTCTTTATCTGTGCCCATACCAGTTCAATCGGGTTTAATTCACAATGATATGGTGGGGATCTAAGTACTGTCATTCCACGATTTTTGGCAATTTCATCAATTTCGTATTTTTTAAATTTTTCTTTATGAAGGGCACACAACGAATAAAGTTCCTTTCTTTAGATCCGGGATGGTACGTAATATCTTTTTTGAACTCAGCCAATTCTGCAAGTCTTTTTTTAACCACTTGGTTGTGGGCAGTCCTTCTATAAGTCTGGAGTGATAACTTGCATTATCCATTACTATTACACAGTTCTTAGGAAGAAGATCTCTCATTTGTTCGAACCATTCTTGAAAGACATCAGCGTTCATGTCTTCATGGTAGCCACCGTACGAGTTGATTCAAAAGTTAATAAACCACCTTCAACAAAACCGTCTGAACTGCCAATGTGTACTATTATCAGCCTGCGTCCCTTTCCTGATGGTGGGTTTAAACCAGTAGATAAGTTATTTACAAAAGCGTGCCTTTGACTTGTAACAGTTTCATCCTGCCAAAATTTATATGGTGTATGACCCTCGTCGATCCATGCTTCATCAAGATAAAATATTTTTCTTTTTTGGTTTCTCATTTCCTTTATGGTTCTTAGAAAATGTCTTCTCCATATGACAATATCGCTTCTTTCTAATAAAATAGACTTTCTGGGATTCTTTTTCCAGCGGAAGCCTATTTCTTTTAAAAGTTTCCATAACGTACTTCGACTCATTTCTGGGTAATCCTTATCATCTCGAACTGAGACAAGAACTTTATCCAATGTTGGAAATTCTTGTCTAAAGAAGAATTCATGCACTTTCCGTCGAAGTCCTTCTTTAAAATGATATTCTATTTGAAATTTTGGTTTCCCTGGAGCATTACGTGGCATTTGAAAACTACCACATTTCTCTTCTTTAATAACTCTGTAAATCGTAGATTTCCCAACACCAAGTGTACTGCTAACTAACTCAACGGTCTCATCAACACTTTCACATAAACGTTTGTCTGTAAATGATTTAAAACAATTAAATATTAATGTTTTTTCATTAACTGTTAAAGGACCAATTTTTCGGCGTTTACACGGCACTTCCAAATTTTCCATAACACTAGTATACACAATAAACTGCACCTTGCAACTGAAGTACCTACTTTTAGTGAACTGTTAAGAATTTTGAATACGCCACTTGGACCTTCCTACAAAATGGAAAAACCCACTATCACATTTCTGTGGAATAAGTTTAGAAGGTAATTATCTAGTCAATTACTGTCGTAGATTCCTGGAATTAAAGAATTAAATGTTTGATTGTTGAAACCCTTACTTCGTGGAATGCACTCATTTCAGATAAAATAAAACGTTTTATTTTATCTAAAGAATTAAACTTTATTTTGCAAATAGGTAGGTACTTATTAAACTTTTATTGGTTATATATAACCAATAAAATAAACATCTTACATTTCTTGCAAATTCATTAGTACCTGTTAACCTCCATCACTCCGACACTGGCAACCTTATTTAGGGATTAGTAACCCTCACAACTATTGTATTCTATTCTGCTCCAACCTTTATACCTGGTGGTCATACTCAATTTAAAATTGTTTTCCTATATACTTCTGTAAACTTGTTGACAAATATCTGTTTTTCATTGAGTCACCCGTATCAACAGTTTAGGGATTTGCATACATAATTTATAGTTTTATTACTCTCTCATACATAAAAATACACTATAATTGAATTTTCGGTTGAATTGACACTTTCAGCATCGTTATTCTTTGATATGTTTAAAACGTCAACAACAATTTTTGAGTCAACTCCAGCATTTTTCAACTAGTTACTAAGCTGATTAATTATCTTGATGGCGGTGTTTAAATGCTTGTTCTTTATTTTCTTGTCTGGAGATTTAACATTCTTAGTGGAATTCTGATGTTTTTTAAGAATATTTTGTACACATTTAGAGTAATTCAAGACATTTGGATTGTATGGATACAAGCCCCACTTACGAAAACCATTGCTGATAATTACAGGCAAATTTTCTTTTTCTAAAACTTTTTTGAGCAATGGACAAAAAGTTGATTTGCTCAAAAGATTATTAACACTTTCAGGACGAGTTGCCCATTCATTGTGACTTAAAAGGTTTAATACACTTACCTACATCTGCAGACTGAATCAAATGTGTCGCATTTGGTGGAAGTCCGTAAAGGATAATACCGTTTTCATAACAATATTCACAGAGCCGCATTTTTAAGTGGCTTTTATGTCGATCAACTGGCTTTTTAATGTTTTTTTCTTCCACCCATATGTTCAAACCTTTAACAATATAATCATAAAATATACTATCTGATTTCATCCACCCGGTTTCTGATTTTCCTAACAGCCATCCAGCAGGCATACTGTTTATAACATCTTTTGGTGGTCTTAATATGGAATCACTACACAAGGAGACAAAATCTTTCCATAAGCTGATATAAATACAAGAACTGTAACAGCCTCTTTTTCTTGGCCTTTTACGATTTTGTTGACATTCTTGTATCCTCTAGATGCAATAATGTTTCCAGATTTGGGACGTATGTAGAAACTGGTTTCATCACCATTAAAAAATACGATCTGGGTCAGTCAAAATATTAGTTGAGTTTATATATTCTAAGTGGTTAATTAATTTAGTAAACCACTTCCTAATACTTTCTTCGGTTACTGCTGCTTGGCCCTTAGATATATTTTCGGGTGTCCTTTCACTTAACTCAGGATTTCGTCTAAGAAATGACTGGTACCATTTTTCCCGGCCTATTATTAGGTGTGTCCTCTTGGGAAATAATACTATGGGCAGTATTAAGAAGATCTTCGCGTTTTAAAGGGAAGCTACATTTTGCTAAGGCCATGCACCAGTCTTTCAAGGCAGTCTCTTCTTCTTTGGAAAGTACTGAGTCTGGTCCCATTTTACAGGGACTTCTATGACTCTTAAATGTAGCCGATCTTGTAGGGTTCCTCGTGGTACGCTAAAAACTCGACTAGCTTCTCTAATTTTCATCCCATTTCTTGTTGCGGTCATAGCTTGTGACAATTGCTCTTCTTTATACCGGTGGATTGGTCTTTTTGACATGATGACAATCTATAATAAAAGATTTTTATGTTAAAAACCCCTACCATAAATTTAATCCTAATTAAAAGGCATTAAGATCCAGTTTTATGTATCAAAACTAACGGTCGACTATTGGAGTTTAAAGTCTATTACTCGGCCTTCATCGTGCATTTACTTTTATACATGGCTGACTACTCTTAAAATTAACATTTTGTTATCTAAGTGATATTTTCTGACAGTTTTACGTATAAGGCCATTTCTAAACATACATGAAAATGCGTAATTTTTGTATGCGCCACAAAATTAAAGTATTTACTGTGTATAAAAAGAAATATGTAGTCTCACATGTGAAACATACTTTTTTGCAGCAGCTAAATTACTTTTTTACCAAAAATATCGAAACTTTCAAAAATAGTAGTGGATGCATTGTAAAAACAGTTAATTTATTATTGTACATATTTTGTAACGGCTACAAAAATGTATTTTAGTATTAAGAAAGACCAAATTTTAATAAACTGTTAAACAAATTTTGTTTTTTTAAATTTTGCCCGAACCAATGGGATTTACTTTTTTAATTTTCCTTGTCAATCTTTGTGCTTCTGTTTTATATCGTTCTTACATAGTTGTTCACCTATTCTATCCACGATTGTCTGGTTTTCGGTACCATTTTGCGCATGTTTGTTTTTTATATAATCGTCTTAACTCATCCATCTTAAGTCTGGATTTCATTTTGGTTCTTAGATCCCACTATGTAAATCTAGGAGACCACTAGTGTAAAATTGCTCAATTTTCAAGTGGGACCATGTCGAATTTTGTTGAGTTTTGGCTTCTCTGTTTGGAGTCTTCACTGTTTTTCCCCCAAAGTCGTGTGTTGAAAATCCGTCTGCAGGTACTTGTCTAGCTACGTACTGGCATCTCTTTTATTGAGACGTTTGTTCGCTATCAAGCAATTCTCGGAAAATTCTTGCTTTATAAAAACGGATGAGTGCTAGAAGTGCTCA